TCGTTATATATATATATATATATATATATGTATATATATTATGTATATAGGTTTCACTGCATCGTCTCGCGTCCCTCTACCGATCAATCAAACCTTACTCATTACTGTCTTTTTTCGCTCCTTACCCATTGTTCTCTTTAAATCCGAGTGAGTAAGTACGTACGTATGTAAGTAAGTAAGTACGTAAGTAAGTACGTAAGTAAGTACGTAAGTAAGTACGTAAGTAAGTACGTAAGTAGGTAAGTACGTAAGTACGTAAGTAAGTAAGTAAGTAAGTAAGTAAATAAGTACGTAAGTAAGTAAGTACGTAAGTAATTAAGTAAGTAAGTAAGCAAGTAAGTAAGTAATGAAACAAGTAATCAAGTAATTGATCAATGAATTACGTAAGTTTCGCTACACATCGTGTTTAACTATTCGGCTGTCTAGCTAGCTGACTATTCTAGTTGCGTTTTACGGAAGTTCAGGTGTTAAACCTACGTTCCGGCCACGACCCCGTGAACCGTCCAATAAACTGGTCCAATTAAATATCGGCGCGTGCACGAGCAACGGATATTTCGATGTGCCCGCTCTCTTCCGTTTATTGGACGGCCAGGCGGATCGCTGCGCGGCCTCGCGGGAATGCTAACGGGGTGAAAAAGTGCTACGCCGAAGCTTCGTTCACAAAACACGAAAGATACGCAACGGATGCTAATTAATTTCAATACGGTGGTGATAATAATGGTGGGTGAATGGTGTCGGTACTCTATGTATGTATGTATATATCTATATATATATCTATATATATATGTATATATGTATAATGTATGTATATAACAAGTAACTTGCGTGTCCTTCGAATAAATTAAATAAATTAATGGGATCCTGACTACTGACAATAATGAGAATGACGATGACAAATGGCACATTCGACGAAAGATACTTGGAACACTACGCGTGGTACGCAATCGTGATAATCGTAATTAGAATAAATAATAAAGGAGAAGAACGATAGTAATACTCGTCGTTTTACATCCAACGACTTCGCCGGTATTAAATTAGCTCGCGAATCGTCGCGCGAGTTACATCGCTACTGGCTACACGCTAGACCGAGGAGACGCGTCCCGCGTATCGTGCGGACCTCGTTATTCGACCAACGAAACGTCCCCGAAGAATATTCCGCCTCGTTCGATACAGAGATCGATCCGACGCCCCTTCGAAATCAATCGAACGGCTATTTACAAGAGAAACCCTCGAGGAATCTTCCAATATTTCCAATCGAGTCGCTCAATTGTCGTAACAATTTTTAATTTGTTACTTCTAGGTCAGAAAGCCCTTTCTATATCTTCCGAACATGTCGTGTAATCATTAATTTCCTCGATTTCCCTCTTCTAGACTTCAACTGCTAGCTTCCGAGCGACTCGAACGCAACGCGTCTTTCGCAGATTATTGGGAGATCTCGAGGCGAAACGAGGAAACGCATTGGAATTTCCACCGATCTTATAATCGATTAAAG